TTCTCCTGGTGCTTTTTCTGATTCTCTGATTTTCTTTATACTTTTACTACATAGTGTGAATCAATATATTGGTTAATTAATTAAATAATATGTTGTTTAATTAAACAAATTGATTAACTAAATAATATGTTTAAATAAATGTTTAACTAAATAATATGCTGTTTAATTAAATGATGTTCATTAACCAATTAAATATGTTGTTTAACTAAAATGTGTTGTTAAATATTGATTAACACAGTGTTTAATTTTCCTTCTTTATTTCAAATTAAAGACCTAAGTACAATAATTTTTCTTAGTTAACTGAACTTTTAAAAAAGTTCTCATACTATATATGTGTGTGTATATATATGTCCTATTGTAATTTTTTTTTTTTTTTTTTTGGCAGTTTTTGGCCAGGGCTGGGTTTGAATGTGCCACCTCTGGCATATGGGGCCAGCGCCCTACTCCTTTGAGCCACAGGTGCCGCCCTATTGTAACTTTTTTTTACTCTACTGATTCAGCTATATTGATTCCTCTAGCTGTAGTCCATTCGTTTTTGCTTTTATATTCCACTATATAAATATACCACCGATTTACTTACTCATTCTCTTGCTATTAAACATTTGGGTTATTTTCAACTGCTTTCTGTTACAAACAATGCTGCATTGAACATTCATATACACATCTCTGGTCCTCATATGTAAGGGTTTCTCTGGGCATATAATTAGGAGTGGAAGTGGATGCTTAACCTAAAAAGATAATGCCCATTGGTTTCCAATGTGGTTGACCACAGTTCTATTCCTGCCCACAATTATAAGAGTTCCCATATGGCATATCTTTGCCAGCTGTATCCTCTTCACACTGGTAAATTATTGCCCCACCAGCGGGTCTAGAATGACATCTTTGTGTTTTATTGTTCATTTCACCAGTGTTTTCTCTTCTTAGAAATACTTCTTAGTATCTTTTGTCCATATAAAAAATAAGTTTGTTTTTCTTTTCCTTAAAGATGTGTAGGTTTTCTGTATTAAATTCCTTATCATTTATACATCATGCAATATCTTCTTCCAGCTTTAAGGTTGCTGTTTTGTTAATATTTTTGATAAGTAAAAATTCTCAATTTAGTTTATTATGGCAACAACCCCATCCAAACGAAAAATTTTCAATTTTCAGGCAACCAAATTAATTCATTCTTTACCGCTAGGATTTCATGTTTTGTCTCGTTTTCTTTGGATGACTTGTTTATAAAATCCTTTTTTCACCCCGAGGTCAAAACAATCTCTTACGCTTTCTATTAAAAGTATTAACATTTTATCTTTAAGTGCTTAATTCATGTAGAGTTAACTTGATTGTATGATGTGAGGTTGTGATCCAACTGCATTTTTATGACATGGATAAGCTGTTTTCCCGTCACCATTTATTGAATCTGCTCTTGCCCTTTATCTGCAAGGCCAGTATATTGTCAACAGTATCTTTTCCTTCCTAGCCAGTGCAGTATAGAATTGAAGAGTGGAGAAGTACTGAAGTATGTAGAAGTGTAGAAGAAGAAAGAAGTATAGCTTAATGATGAGAATACTTAACTTGTTCTGATTTTGAAAAGAATGTGTCTAATACTATTGTATATATCCTTCTCATTTCCTTCTATCCTTGTTTGTGAAAAATTTTTATTTTACTGTTTTAAATGAGCGGGTGTAGAATTTTACTGAATGCCTTTTCTATATCTTTTGAAATGAATATTGCTTTTCTTCTTTTAATTCATTAATTAATGTTTATTGATATACAGGGTGGACATAAGGTTTGTGTGTTACACAACTTTACACAAACCTTATGTCCACCCTGTGTAATAGTTATACATATTTTGGGGATGCATGTGATATTCTAATGTAAGTATACAATGTGTAATGAACAAATCAGGGTAACTGGGATATCTATCACTTCAAACATTTATCTTTTTTGTGTGTTGGGAGCATTCCAATTCTTTTCTTTAAGGCATTAAATATACGACAAATTATTGTTGAATATATTCTCCCTACTATAAGGTTTTCTTCTTTATTATTAGCCAATTATATCAATATATTCTACTTTTTAACTTGAGTGAATTAAAAGGATATTTATTTATTTATTTTTTGAGACAGAGTCTCACTCTGTCACCCTTAGTAGAGTGCCATGGAGTTATAGCTCACAGTAACCTCAAACTCTGGGGCTCAAGCCATACTCTTGCCTCAGACTCCCAAGTAGCTGGGACTACAGGTGCCCACCACAATGCTCAGCTGTTTTTAGAGATGGGATCTCACTCTAGCTCAGGCTAGTCTCAAATTCTTGAGCACAGACAATCCACCCGCCTTGGCTTCCGAGAGTGGTAGGATTATAGGCATAAAAGCACATTTAATTGTCTAAAGATTCTCTTTTCTCTCTGAAGTATCCAGGTTCTTATTTCCTATTGTTTTCTTTCTGCTAACTGGGCTTCTCAGAAATATCATTTCACAATTTCATGGCTTTGCTTAGTAGGAAATTTGGTCCCTTGCTTCTTCCTTAGGAGGAAATTTGGTCCCTTGCTTCTTCCTTGTTCAGACTCAGAGAGCAAGTAGTGTTTAAAAAGCGGGGTTTGTAATCACGGAGACCTAAGTTGGGTTAGATTCATCCATTTGGTAGCTGGTGACCTTGGATGAGTTATTTAATTTATCTGGTTTTAGTTTTCTCAGCTATAAATGAAAGCTATGATCCTTTATGAAACCATAAGAATCAAAGCCAAATAATGCATAGAAAGGTTTAGCCCTTAGCTTACCACACTAGAATGATACAAGTTAGTTGTTGTTACTTGAAGTGTAAATCTTATGGTAGGCTCCTTTATAACCTGATGATGGGGTGGCACCTGTGGCTCAGTGGGTAAGGTGCCGGCCCCATATACTGAGGCTAGTGGGTTCAAACCCAGCCTAGGCCAAACTGCAACAAAAACATAGCTGGGCGTTCTGGCTGGCACTTGTAGTCCCAGCTACTTAGGAGGCAGAGGCAAGAGAATTGCCTAAGCCCAGGAGTGGAGGTTGCTGTGAGCTGTGACGCCATGGCACTCTACTGAGGGGATAAAGTAAGACTCTGTCTCTACAAAATAAATAAATAAATAAAATATAACCTGAAGATGGCATTTTTCATCTCTACTATAGATATAGGATTACAGGAATAAGCCACTACGCCCAGCCTGTTGAAAGAATTTTTTTTAGTGATAAAAGGAAGATTTAGAGGAGTTAAATTGCTTGGGGATCCTGTAAGCAAATTTCTGACATTTTATCCACTTAGATCAGTGGTTCTCAACCTTCCTAATGCCGCGACCCTCTAATATAGTTCCTGTGGGTCGCACTGGCTTAGATCATTGGGCCTTACAAGATTATGAGACACATGTGATGAATTATAAAAGATATGAGAGAAAACAGTAAGAATCTCGGGAATAAAAATGGTCAAGAGAACAGGAATATGAGAAATGTATATTTTTATGGATAAGTGACAGAAATATATTATTTACCGAAATCCCTGACAAGTCACTTCCTGAGCCACATTTTTGAAAACACAGCATGATATCAGGAAGCTGGCTGGCCCTTTGCTGCTAGTGGAATGACTGAAGTTTGATGAAGGACATTGAAGAATATTCTGAACCTTTAAGTGGAAACCCTCTGAACTATTTCAAATACATACAGGCTTTTTTTTTTTTTTTTTGAGATAGTCTTACTATGTCAGTAGAGTGCTGTGTTGTCACAGCTCACAGCAATCTCAAACTCTTCAGCTTAAGCGATTCTTTGGCCTCAGCCTCCCAGGTAGCTGGGACTGCAGGCACCTACAACAATGCCTGGCTATTTTTCGGTTGCAGTTGTCATTTTTTTTTTTTTTTTTTGCAGTTTTTGGCTGGGACTGGATTTGAACCCACCACCTCCAGCATATGGGGCTGGCGCCCTACTCCTTTGAGCCACAGGTACTGCCTGCAGTTGTCATTTTTGTTTAGCAGGCCTGGGCTGGGCTAGAACCCACTACTCTTTGTGTATGTGTCCGGTGCCCTACTCACTGACCTACAGGCACTGAGCCACATACAGGCATTTTAAGTTTATAAAGTGAACAATAAAATATGCAAACCAGCCTATCCATTCATTACCAAAAGCTGATTCTGAATGTGTATGAGAGCTTTGGACCCCTCCTCCTGCCTCCATCCTTTTGGTAGCCCCCTGTTAATCCCTGGATCTCGATTAGGAAAAATGAACAGTAATGTCAGTTCTTTTCTCCCAATATCCTCTCTTCTAATAGTTGTTTTGTCAGGGTGACACATTGTAAATAGATACCTGAAAAAAACAGTTGATTTAGGAATCTTGCTATCTTCTCTGCAAAAATGTATCCCACTAGGGATTTAATTATCAAGGAAATGAAGATAACTTTCCTGCAGAATTCATTTCCTCCTCACAAAACAAAATTGTCAGCTGCTTTCCACATAGCTTCTTAGGTTGAACTGACTAAATTATATGTCCTAATGTATTTGGGTTTAGTGATTTTTAAAAAATCTCTTACTTCCTTTCCTATCTGGCAACCTTAGGAAATTGGTAAAAACAAACAAGTACCAGAATGTTCACGGTCCCTTGCTAATGATAGCAAAAACCTGGAAACAAAAATGTACATGAATGGAGAACGATATAAATAATGTTACATCCTTGGAATTTTAGCCATTAAAAATAATAAACTGGATAAACATTTGTTGATATGAAAAGATCTCCAAGCTATATCATTAATGGAAAAAAACCAAGATGCAGAATAATATATATAGTAAAATTCCGTTTATACAAAAAATTATATGTAACACATATGATATACTTGTATAGCTAGAGAAAGTTTCTGGAAGACTATATGAAAAGGTGATATAATAGGTGTTGCCTTTAAGTAGTGGAACTGGGGATAGGGCAGTTTACTTTTTATTTTATGCTCCTTGGTTCTGCATGAAAGGTTTTAACTTAAAATTAAATGATAACTTTTGCATTTTTGTATGTGTTTAGCTTCTCGTAGGCATTTTGATCTTTCTGCTTCCTTGGGCTCCACTCTCTCTTCGAGCATTTCTCATGCCCATACATGTTTATTCTGGACTTCTCATCTTTGGAACGGCAATTGTAACAACACTTATGGGAGTGACGGAGAAACTGGTTTTTGCCCTGTAAGTTGCATACTCTTCCTGATTGTAATGCTTAACCTATATTATGTCAAATACTTGTCCAATGGGAAAATGTAATATAAGCGCAGAAAAATCTTTTTAAGTATTAAAAATGCTTTTAAAAATTATTATATTATACATATATTACTAAAAGTTTAAAAGGCAAATCAAAAAGTCCAACAAATTGTACCACTCTTACAGAACAACTATTGAAGTTATGTATTCCTTTTCAATCTTTTTGACGTGCATTTTTTTGTTTTGTTTTGTTTTGTGTGATTTTTTGAGACAGTCTCACTTTGTCACTCTCAGTAGAGTGCTGTGAGGTCATAGCTCACAGCAACCACAAACTCTTGGGCACAAGTGATTCTTTTGCCTCAGCCTCCTGAGTAACTGGGACTACAGGCGCCCACCACAATGCCTGGCTATTTTTAGAGATGGTGTTATACCCAAAGGAAGTGGAATAGAGAAACACCAGCACACTGAGTCCAAATTAAGCAGGGGTCCTTTACTGGCCCGTGATCAAGAACGGATTCACGCCACAGTCTCTCAACCAGCAGAAGCAGGCGTAGAAGCTTTTTATAACGTGCTTTTGGTAGGGGAAGAGGAGTCAAGCCAACACCTGCAAGGTCATAAAAGCCAACACCTGCGAGGTTAGATCTCTAGGGTAAGGGGAGTGCTTATAAGGCAGAGCTGTGGTTTCACAGGATTTCACAGTCCACTAACCTCTGCAGCTTTCAGCTGAGCTTAAAGGGGGTGTGTTGAAAGCCTTTAGCAAAGTCCTTAGCAAAATAGATTAATAGTTAGGGCATTACAACGGCGTTTCGCTCTTGCTCAGACTGATCTCAAACTTATGAGCCCAAGTAAACCACCCACCTCAGCCCCAGAGTGCTAGGATTACAGCCATCAGCCACCACCCCCTACCTAATGTGCATGTTTTTATATTAATTGCAATTACAGTGTACCCACATTTTTGTTTCATATCCTTTAGGATTTTTAGGTGATATAGCTGTTATAGATGCTATTTTTTCATATTTATGATTTTTAACCATTTTATGATATACAACTGAGTGAATTATAGTGTAACTTAAATTTCTCCTCAATATCAAGCTTTAAGGAAATTGACACTGACGCTGTACCACTGTGTTTTTTGAGCAGATAAAGTCAAGACTTTTGCATGTTGTTGTATCACCCTATTTGTAATTGAACATACTTTCTCTTTTTTTCATAGGAGAACTCCTCCATACAGTTCCTTCCCACCAGAAGGTGTTTTCGCAAATACCCTTGGCCTTCTAATTCTGGTGTTCGGGGCCCTCATTTTTTGGATAGTTTCCAGACCACAATGGAAACGTCCTAAAGAACCAAATTCTACCCGTCTTCAGCCAAATGGAGACACTATAGAGGGAGCGGGAGTCTCCATGACAACCAACTATGGCAACACAATGGACAAATCAGATTCAGAATTAAACAATGAAGCAGCAGCAAGGAAAAGAAATTTAGCCCTTGATGAGGCTGGACTGAGATCCACCATGTGAAACGGTGTGGAGACGTATGTATTTAGCTTCTATTTAGCCATAAAGTAATCAAGCTACGATTTTTTTTTTAATGATAAAGGAAGATTTCTTGGAAGATTTGAATTGATTGAGGCCTATGAACTTACCTGAATTGGAAAGGTTGTGCTCAGTATAAACAGTAGCAGATACAAATTGGGGTTATGTTACCTCTTTCTTGTTGAGGACCAAAGCATTAGCACAGTGCCTTGTGCAGAACCGGTGCTCAAAATGTGTCTATTAGTTGGTTAATTTGATGAACTGGCAGCATCCCTAGCCTCTGCTTAGGCAGTCATTTCCTGTTAATTCTGAGAGCCCAGTGATTTCGGAACCAGGTATAACTTGTCCTAAAGTTTTAAAATCAGATTGTGAGGATCTGGGACAGGGTTTAGACCATGTTGCTACACAGATATCCTGGTTAGAATATAGGGGAAAAATTAGGAAAGTATCTAGCCCCTTTCTCTCCAGCCCTGGTTTCTGTTCCTTCCCCACTTGTTTGGGTTTGCGTTAGCCTTGAAGACCAGGGTTTATATAAGGATATTTTGGAGCAGTGCCCAGACCATAGGTTGTTGAAGAGATCTCTGGTCAGCCTGACTTAGATTTTCTAAAACTCAACTTAGTTCCAAGACTTCCCTGGGGTTGGGATGCTTTAGGACCCAGATTCTGATCTTCTTAGAATAAAAATACACCTATATAAGCAGCAAAACTGCTCTACCAATCTTAAAGAGTACTTTTTCCTAAGTTTCTGTTCTTATTTTTAGAAGTTCTTACATGGAACTATGAGCCAGACACTCTTTTAGTGCCTTACAGATATTGTTAAGTCTCAGTCCTCAGACACACCTGATGAGGTAGATGTTATTATTCCATTTTATAGGTGAGAAATCTGAAGGGTGGGGAGACAGATAATTCAACCCAAGGTGACATAGCTCATACATGGCTGAACTGAGATTCAAACCCTGGCGATCTGGCTGCTTAGTCTGTGATCATAACCACTTCACTACGCTACTACTATTTTTGTCTTGTACTAATTTGCACCTACATCAAACCACCCCTGAATAAACCTCAATTGACTGGTGTGGAATGGAGTTATTTTTAAAGGGGTGCTTCTTTCCCTTTGGCTCTCTTCCCAGATAACTAAGGAAAGGAGTCACCCACACCTCCCGTGGATCCTGGAGCCCCTGCCACTGCCAATCAGCCAGGGCAGTGGCTTTGATCTTAAAATCGTGTTTTTGTAACAGAAAGATTTGGGCAAGCCTATCTATAGCTTTCCTCTGATTCAAGCAGCTGAGAAAGAGAGAACATCTGTAGCTGTCAAGATTAATTATATGCAGTGTTTTGTTCTTCATGATCTTAGGGGTCAAATAACTTTGAGTTTGGACTAGAAGAGACCTACGTCATGGTCAGCTCTTCTTTGGGGCAATAGCAAAGGTTCTTTCTGATTTTCATGGAATTTGGAGGGATATTTTCCCTCAAATTTTGGGGAAATACTGGGTTCCTAGCAGTGGATTGAGACTGAGAGATAAGAACTTTTCATGTGTGGAGGTCTCTGTCTGGATTCTGGGGTGACTTAAATTAAAACCTAGAGTAGTATCTATGCCAAAATGATGCCTTTCATTTTTTAGTTGATTTTTGGCTTCCGTGAAATTTTACACGGAAGCATTTTAATGTGGATAAAAACCTTATAGTTTGTACCAAATGCCCTTAACATTTTTGGTGCTTAGCCCATTTCCTTTGGAGTATTTCCAAAGACTGAATGTGAGCTATACTTCATCATCTCCCTTAACCTTCACGGAGAACCATTCAAGATTCTCCCCATTATAACACTGTTTTCTTCTTATTTAATTAATTCTACTTCCAAAATTGGTAACAGTCACCGAAGCATCCCCAGTGCCCAACCCAAAGCCTGGCATATAGTAAGTAGGACAATTAAATTCAGTACGGGCATAGCATGGTACAATCTTGGTGCTAAGTCAAAGGGATTGCATGGTCATATACCATTTGACAAATGGATATTTCATTATGTAGAGGTGCACTAAATTCCAGAGATTGTTTTTGGGGGGGACAGTGACTGAGCCCCAAGAATTGAGGCTGCTGTTCCTTTTTATATAGGCCAAGAAAGAGGTTAAGAGTGAAAAGTTAATTATGGATTTGGCACTAGAATGGCTCTATGGCAAAGGATTTGAGCTGCCCTCATCGCAGCCCTTTATTTTATCTTTTAGGGAAGCTAATATGGGGGTAATCGTACAGATATTATAGGAACTTCTTTTCTTTCTTTTTTAGCCTTTGTAAAATAATACATAGTAAAATATATCTAGAAAACCCTTTTTGTTTTAGACTCTTATTATAATGGGTTTTTTATTCCAGTGATAATTGTACCTTTATCTTTTAGAAGGTGATATTTCCTACCAAAAGCATCTCCCCCCAAAATATCTCATTAAAAAGTCCCCAAAGAATAGGGGAGAACAAAGCCTTAGGTATCAGTTCCAAAACAGTGATTGAGACCTCCCCAAATAATTATAGTTTATATCAACTGTGCAGGTAATCTGGCTTGGCTTACCCCGTAATCTAATTTCAGAAAAGAAAGCTTTATTTTAACACTCATTTGAATCAACACGAAAGCCTTTTCTCTCAAAGCATTTATCGAGAAACTCTAGTGAATACATTTTTTGAATTAATGTCATCAGAAGCGTACAGCTTCCTATGCTTCTTGTGTCAAACCAAATCCACCCTCCAGAGCACTTTCCTGCCTTTTATTTGCACAGTTTGCTTTAAGCTATGATGTTTAGAAACAGCATTTCAGCCCTTACAATGAGATGACAAAGAAGGCAATTACACTTTTGAGGGGATACTGACAAGCGCCTTCTGCTTTCTAAAGGACAAAATGAAGAGTGTGTCTCATTTTTAATTAGGTTCTTTCCACTGTTGAGCTGGAAATTCCAGTACAGCCCTGATTGACGACCACTGCCAAGCTGAAAACACAAAGGAAGAAGTCAAGCTTTATGCTAATTTTATTTCAATATGATGGAATTTTTATCTTGGCATGTCCTTTTGTAGATAGCTCTCCCAGAAAACTGTCACTGCTGTGTCTTATAGGAAAGTACAGAAGAAAGAGAATTAGTATGATTTATCCTCACGAGGTACCTAAAAATCTTACGAGGAAAAGATTTCTATCTTTACATTGGTCTTTTTATCTTAATACATTTATGGAAAAATATCAAAATATCCTGAATATTTTATAATTTTGTAGGAAGAAATAATGTATCTATTTTTTCTTAACTTTTTATATAGTAATAAAGTTATTTTGGAAACTCTGAGTATGTGTGTGTGTGTTATCAATGTGTCTGGGCTATTATAAGGTACAGGCATTGTTCTGAGAGTTTCTTTCTCGTGGTTTCTTATTTGTTTGAGTTCATGGTTTGTTTGCTTTTCAGTGCAGATAATTTTTTTAAGTGCCTTTACTGAAAATGCTTTCAGATTTCTCTATAAAGTGTACTCTGATACCATACCTTTTATGTGGCTGAAGATACCAGAGGACTGTTTCAAAACTGTAATAGGGTACTCCGCCATGCAGTGTCTGAATTAGAGCCACACTCTGTCACGTGGAGGGTGCCAGAGATGTGTGCAGCCAAAGCAGATGCAGTTGGAAGAACATGGAATAAGAACCTATTAAAAGTGCTGATTGTCAGGCAAGTGCATTTTTTTTTTTGAGATAGAATCTCACTATGTCACCCTCTGTAGAGTGCTGTGCTGTTGCAGCTCACAGCAAGGCAGCTCTTAAACCCCTGGGCTCAAGCAAGTCTCTTGACTTAGCCTCCCAAGTAGCTGGGACTACAGGCGCCTGCTACAAAACCTGGCTACTTTTTTGTTGTTAATGAAGTTGTCATTGTTGTCTAGCAGGTCCAGGCCGGGTTTGAACCTGCTGGCATCCGTGTATATGGCCAGCTCCCTAACCACTGAGCATGGGCGCTGAGCCAGGAAACTGCATTTATTGTTCTTGAGAAGGTATATAATTTATAATGGATGAGCTTTGTTTTTTGGGTTTTTTTGTTTTGTTTTGTTTTGTTTTTATAGCAATGAGGTCTTACTATGTGGCCCAGGCTGATCTTGGCCTCCCAAAGTGCTGAGATTATAGGCATGAGCTGTCCTACCAGGACCATTTGGGTTTTTTTTTCTCAAATAAAAAAGAAGAATCATTAACATACAAATGGAGCCAAAACTCATACAATCTTATTATGACTGCTCATTTAGTCTTTTTTCACCTACTTTTTGTCTCCTGGGAAATGTGCATGGCATTTTATATCATGTAGCTGTAGTAACAACATAATACTACGTGCCCTACTATGCAATAGGGCTGTAACATTGTGTGTGAGTTGAATTTTTGTAAGTTATATCGTATTTTGTCATATTAATTTCAGAAGTCAGATTTCTCTTGATTAGCAAGTACTTTTAACATTTTTTAAATATATGGCTTAAGCAGATTACCATAGAATTTTACACTTATTAGCTCATATAATTTGTAGGTACACTAGTGAATGTGCACATATGTACCGTCTATAGTCTAAAATTTGCTATATTTGCTTTATTATATTTCTAAAATATAATATTCTATTTCTATAATAAAATAATAAATAATTTATCTAATTATATTTCTATAGTATAATAAATATAACAAGTTATATTTCTATAATAAAGGGAATACATCCCTTTATTCATCAAATACTCTATCTTAAATTTCTGATACATTTTAAAATGTGGCAAACATCATTCATTTGGCCAGGTGGCCATTCTCAGTTTGTCTACTATCATAGAAGGGAAAGCATTTAATATTTTATCATTAAATATGTCGTGTATGCTCTTCATCAGCTTGACTTCAATTTGCTGAGTTTTTTACAATCATGAATTGGTGTTCAATTGTGTCAAATGATTTTTATACATTTACTGAAATAATCATTGGGCTTTCTCCTTAATTATAAGAGGGACTTTACCTAACAAATACAATCAGCGTAACCTGGTTCTTTGCACCCTCAATGAATCCCCAACAATAAACAATAAAAACGCATTAATATGGTGAAATACACTGATTTATGAATGTTGAACCAGCTTTGTTCTCCCGGGTTAAACTCCCCGTGAATGTTATGCATTATCCCTTTTCACGTATTGCTGGATTTGGTATGCTAATGTTTTGTTAAAGGTTTTGTTTCTATGCCCTTGAGAGAGATTAGTCTGCAGTTTCCTTTCTTTCTAACATCTTTGTTAGGTTATACTCAAGGTAAAGCTGGCTTTACAAAAGGTATTTGAGAAATGTTCCTTCTTTTCTGAAAGAGTTTGTGTAATATTAGTATTTTTTTAATTGACTTGAGGTTTTATAGGTAAAACCTGGAGTTTTCTTTATGTGAAATTTTTTGGTAATGAATCTAATTTCTTTAATAAACATAGAGTTGGCAGTGCCTGTGGCTCAAGGAGTAGAGCGCTAGCCCCATATGCCTGAGGTGGTGGGTTCAAACCCAGCCCTGGCCAAAAACCGCAAAAAAAAAAATAATAAAATAAATAAACAGAGTTATTCAGATGTTCTGTTTCATCTTTTGTCAGTTTTGGTAACTTGCATTTTTCAAGGAATTTGTCTTTTTTAACTAAGTGGTCCAATTTTAGGGATACATTACTAGGTATCTACCCAGAAGAAACAAAGTCAATTTACCATTAGGACATTTGCACTTGAATGTTCATAGCAGCATAATTCACAATTACAAAGATGTGTAAACAACCCAAATGCCTTTAACATACGAATGGATTGATAAAATGTGATACATGTATACCATGGAATACTATTCAGCCATAAAAAGATGGAGATTTGGCTCAGTGCCTGTAGTTAAGTGGTTAGGGTGCTGGCCACATACACCAAGGCTGTTGGGTTCAAACCCGGGCCTGCTAAAAACAACGACGACAACTACAACAACAAAAAAAATAGCCGGGTGTCGTGGCGGGCACCTGTAGTCCCAGCTACTTGGGAGGCTGAGGCAAGAGAATCACTTAAGCCCAAGAATTTGAGGTTGCTGTAAGCTGTGATGACACAGCACT